ACGAGCTAATTAAAAGACATCGCGGCCTTTTCAGTTCCCAAATAATCAACATTTTCTGTCTATTTTGAACGCTTTTTGAGCGGTCGCAATCTTCAATGGACGGTATCTTCCTTATTCTGGCCAGATTATTAAGACAGTAAACTTGGCATTTGTACACATAATTATTGGATCAAGCATACTTAAAAATTCCGGTGTACAAAATTGCACCCAATCCTCTCTGAAATATTTGGCTGTTGCGGAACCCAAACTAACCCTGTAGAATGCAGATAACTTCAATCATCCTTAAAAGAAAATTAATATTAAATATTTACTAATTATATAATCCGCCTTAAATTTGGAAGGTTTTTAAGATATATTTGATTAAAAATAATAATTTCGATCAGAAATTAATATCAAATATCCCATTGTCGATGCAACGATGCAACAATGTAACTTTTTAAAGACCTCAGCACCCCCCAGATGAAAATCCTGGATTCGCCACTGGTTTTATTGAAAGGAGAACTGAGCAAAGTAAAACTGACTAACAACAAAACAAAACCGGTGCTAATCAACTGCATAGAAAGTAAATAATGCAAATTTTAAGCTGGAAACACAGAGCTGCCCGTGCGGTGTGCGGCTTTTAGCAAAATCGAGCACTGTTATACATTACATCGATCCATGGAGCAGTCAGACGGAAACCACGATTGAAAATGTTGTAATGTTCCAAATTAACTGGAGTGCCTTTCGTGCTTTTTCCCCAAAAAGCTGCGCTAATTCTCTTTGAATGTGCTATTTTTGTTCGAGGCTAACAATGATGATAACCAGCGATTATCGAACAACTTTTGTTCTTCTGGCGAGTGAAATTAGTTTCGAAACGTATTTTTGCTCACAATCTATTGCCTTTAAGACAAAGACAACATAAGCTAACAAACTCACGCAATGCAGCAATCGAAGCTTTGAAAACTATTTTCAAATACAAAGCGGTACACAAAACGAAAAGGGTTGACATGTTTTATTTATTCCTTTGTCAACGCCTATATACATTCTCTAATGCTGCCGTAGTTTTTTCACAACTGCCTTATACCATGTAATAATGACCGAAATGTAACAGGGAACACGCAAGTAGGTAGTAAGCAGTTCCTCCATTTAAATATGGTGTTTGCTAATGGAAAACTGACATGTTGGGGCTCTAACATGAAAATGTTGTTTTTGACTGACGGACGCAACGTTTGTAAAATCCTGCTTTTTGTTCTTTATAATCACCAATCGTTTCTAAATGAAGTTTAAGAAAATTGACTTTGGGCTCTGAAAAGATAGGGTAATTCCGGGGGAGATGAACCAGTTGGGTATTTTCGACTGTACATGGTATAGGAAGAATTTTTCAACGCTACCCCGTCAACAAACGACTACCAGTCGCTCTCCGATAGTAGCTTTGTGTGTAGTTAATTTTCGGGAGTGGCTTTATTAGTTTCTGCATTTACACATGGTAGAATTTCTTTTAACGGTATTTTGAAGGTGCGATTCTAACTAAAAGAAAGTTTTAAAATGCGATTTGTAGTTAAAAATGCATTGCATGATATCCACTCTGGACAACGTAAATGATGTAGAGAAGTTCTATATTGTTGAGGCGGATTCATTTTTTACACACTTCTTTTTGGGTATTTCGCCTCAAAAATTTTTGTCTTTAAAAAAGACGTTTTTTACGAGACGAAATTTCCTCACGTCTTTTATTACAGATTGATAAATAGTGCTCCCATTTCGCAATAAGAACGAATTATTTATCAAAAACATCGTCATTTGATGCAACTGCATACGTAATATTTAAAAAATAGGTTCGTTATTTGACCCTAGAAATGAAGAATAGTTTCCAAAAGAAAAAGTCTCCAATCAAATTGATTGTAAACAGACGATATCATACCATAAACTTTGTAATGAAAACGGCAATAGATCGAATATCTACATGAAATAAAAGCAGAGGTTTGAAAGATTCCATATTTAAAATACCTAGTAGAGAAATATCCAATCTCAGACACAAAAGTACAAAAGTCGATCTTTTCTTCCTTAACTATACGTGTAAACCAAATATAAAATGTAAATTCGGTGGATTTTAGACATACAAATAGTAAGGATTTTCCAGGCACCAGTTATCCTTCCTTTTTCGAGATACCCAAAAAGAAGTTTGTAAAAAACGTAAACGATGTAAAAGCCGATTAATACATAGATTTTTTGTTTTTGGGTGGTCCGTCTATTCCTGAAATTTGGGATAGATGGACCAGAGTAAATCGGGACAGTTGAACCGGTTTTTATTTTTCTGTTGAACGGAAGTTGAGCTCACTAAGAGCTAGATGGACCGAAGAGGACCTCAAAAGTGCTGTAGAGGCTATAGATACAAAAACAATGGGGGTCAATGGCGCAGCCAGACACTTTAATATTCCCAAAGCTACTCTAATTACAAGAAAAGCGTGGGGAAAACTAAAAAACTGGCTCATTGAGTTCTTCGCCTACTTTAGGAGAAGAAAATGCAGCGACGATAGTAACACACATGTAAAAAAGCTGCAAAAATTTGCTTTTGCCTCAACACGGAATGATATGCGACATATGATGTTTGCTGTTGCTGAACAGTTACCGTTGAAGCATCGTTTTAACGCAATCACAAAAATGGCAGAAAACGACTTGCTACATCTTTTCCTAAGCCAATGAACATCGCCAAAAAACTTATTTTTTTTTAAATTAAAAAAAAATGAATTAAGTCTAATTTTGTTACTTATCATTTGTTACGGTTTATCTCTCCCTGTGTGGTTTCGGGTTAGTTGGACCACATAGCGGTTTTTAATTTTATTTTTCTGTCAGCAAATGTGTTCGAGTTTTTAGTATTTAGTTACAGTTCTGATTGCAGTTAGTTACGTCAATAAAGCTATTTTTTGTGAAGATAGAGTCGAATCAAAAAGGTGGTTCATCTCTGCCGGAATTACTCTATTTGATATTTTTAAATATCTGGCTGGAAGCTGTGGAAAGTATCGAGATAAACCGAGTCTGGCTGGTGTAAATCGTTCTTTGAGAGATCGAAGGAAGAGAGAACGGGGAGCCCCACATCCCTGGGGACCGGAGGCCTGTAATTAAGCCGTAGTAGCGGGGCTCCCGGGCATCTAAAGATACACTACAGATGGCAACGTGTCATTTTATTGAAATAAAACAAGTTAAATAGCTGGTCTAATAAAACCAGTGAATTATTTTGGACAGTTAGAAGCTGAGCCAAAATAATTAGCCAGCATGTCCATGCATTTGGCTATTGTCATTTTATTTAAGGATCATGAACAGCGCGTTGTAGCACGAATAACGATGCAATTAAGGTGTATTCAAGAGACTGGATATTATGGATAAACCCGTGTATTCTGTGGACAATTTTAATGATGATCAGCCATCATGTGAAGGGGAAATATGGCTCGATTGGGCATCAGTTTTGACGTGTTTTGTTGGATCGTTCGTGCCAACCGATCATGGACTGATGTGTGTTTAGAAACATCGATACATCTGACGTGCGTGCCCTGAATCTAACACAATAGTTTTATGTTCGGACAGCGCTATCATGTTTTTATTGGTTTAATTTCATTTAGGGTCTCCATTCTGAGAGCTTTATATTTCGAACCGCTTTCGTTCGCCGAAAGCATAAATTCTCCGCAACGGTTAAAGAACACCATGTCAAAGTGAAATTATTAAAGGCAAA